GTGGGCATCTTTTCTTTAACTCAAAATGTGAGTTCAAAGAAATTAATATTTTTCAATGCTGTTGTTGATCAGATCTTTCGCAAAGGGGCCTGGGCCGGGACCTTTGGCTGATGACTCGACACTTTTTACATATGACATTTATTATGTAGGAGTCCCCATCGAAGTGCCTACCTTTAAGTATGAGAATTCGTTGAGAAATTGTAGATCTGAAAGTAGCTGGATGATCAGTACCTTAACTGGCCCACCGCCAATACAAGAAGAACTACAGCTAAATGGCATCATTATTTCTGCAGAAGGATTTATGTTGTAGAGAATCAATTTAATTTTAATAGTTAATTTTAACGACTATCACTATACATAAAAATACAGTATTTTTGGAACTGACTGCTAATAGCGAAATTATTAATTCATCCAAACCCCGCCGATTTATGTCAACCTCGGTTTTTATTACCGGGAATAACCTTAATATAAGTTTAACTTCCATAATTGTGTCACCATGGGGTCTGCGGTCACAGCCTGCTGCAGTATATTTATTTGGGTGCAGTCGAGACTGTTTCAGTAAAGCACTCCAGTCTCGACCGCACCCACATATTATACTCCAATTGAAAATCACAACCGCGATTTACTTTACGGATGAAACCCGTAAATGTTTGTTTCAAACGAGACAGAGCAGGACAGGTTATAAACCTACAATGATTTACCAGGCTCTGGCTCACTGTGCAGGAATCAAATACCGGACAATTTCCAATTCCAACTTTGAGTTTAAAAGGTTTGGCTGGATATTTCTAGATAGTCCGAGACGAAAGGGAAACTCGTTAGCTTTTTGTGTTGAAAGCGATTTCTCGACGGTTATCACCTCTATAGATGATATGCTTAAAACATTTTGACTCTATTGCATTTTTGTACTAAATGCAATACGGGCGTTTTTAGCCACACCCTTTCTCAGGGTTTCGCGGTCACTCGAATTTTTGTATTTCAGCCCAGAAACGTCGTAGAGACTATTCCCATACACTAAAATGTCCCTAATAGCCATATCTATATACAACTTATGAACTCATGAAGCAATGTATTATACCTTAAAATACTTATTTTCGGAAATATGGCCGAAAAACGGTGTTTGGCTTGACGCAGTTCATAATTTCCGTGATTTTTGACATTCCCGTCTAGGAAGGTCGTAGAGACTATTCTGATACACTAAAATGTACATAATGGCCACTTTTATATACAACTTATGGAGCAACATATACACTAAAAGGCTTATTTTCGGAAATGTGGCTGGAAAACGGATTTTTGCCGAGCGAACAATGACAATATTAACAAAAATGGGCTATTGGACTGTTAACTAGGAAGGTCCTAAAGACTCATGAGCAACATAGCATTTGTCACAAGATGTAAGATGACTCACTTTGTGTCCAGAAGGCAGAAACGCCTAAAAAAATTGGAGAATGATCTACTTTATTGGGCATCTCTCTCAAGTCTTAATGGGCTTAAGCAGCATATTTGTGTCTTACGAAAGGGCAATTTTTCAAAATTACGGTTTCTTTAGTAAAGGTCAAAGTAAAAGTCAAAGGGTCAGCTGCTAACAGCAAATTGTTCGCAATTTCCGGCTCATGCACAATATATACTCAAAAACGCTCAGTTTAGGAGTAATTAGTAAATAAGTTTTACTACTGCATGATTTGTGAAAACTCCAACAATTTTTCATTGGCACCTATTTACCCTAAATTTAATGACCAAAATTCAACTTTTAATTTATTCATTCCATGAAACTATGACATGTACTAAGAATACAAGACCTAAAATAATTCGGCACTGGATCCGGGTCAGATTGTTCCTTGACCACTGACCAGTACCGCACTTTATAATTATAATTGACTTCGCTGCCGAGACCAATATTGGTCTGTAATCCCTGGATTGAGATCTGTTGTCCACAGTTAAATTTAGCTAATTTCCTATAATACCGCAGTGGTTTGGTTCCCATTACAGAATGACCCCATATTCTTTTTGCGGTATTACTATTGTGGTAAATGAGCTAAATTAAGCTGCGGCCAACAGATCTCAATATACTTCTTATCCTTCATGTAAATGAGTTTGGTGTCAGCAATCATCTTTCTACCACCTACAACAAGAGCTTGTAACCAGCACCACGGACAAAGGATACTCAGAATATCAACAACTCAGAAGATACTGTCTGCCACAATCATAAAGTCGGGCAAACTCTAATCACAGGTTAGTCAGGCAGTGGTATGGCTCACACTCTGTTGATATCTCTTTAGGGAGTTTTCAGGTTTCTCAACCTTTCCTAGTTGAGTGTGTCCCACAACCAAGCACACTGCCTAGGCCCTAGTCCCTAGAAGTCCGGCGTTATGTTTTATAATGATCCTGGACCTAAGTGGCAAGCTGCTCTATATCAACAACAACAAAAAACAGATCTCAATCCAGGGATTACAGACCAATATTGGTCTCGGCAGCGATGTCAATTATAATTATATAAAGTGGGGTACTGGTCAGTGGTCAAGGAACAATCTGACCCGGATCCAGTGCCAAATTATTTTAGGTCCGCTATTCTTAGTACATGTCATAGTTTCATGGAATGAATAAATTAAAAGTTGAATTTTGGTCATTACATTTTGGCTAAATAGGTGCCAATGAAAAATTGTTGGAGTTTTCACAAATCATGCAGTAGTTAAACTTATTTACTATAATCACTCCTAAACTGAGCGTTTTTGAGTATATTATGTTGTGCATGAGTCGGCAATTGCGAACAATTTGCTGTTAGCAGCTGACCCTTTGACTTTTACCTTTACTAGTACTAAAGAAACCGTAATTTTGAAAAATTGCCCTTTCGTAAGACACAAATATGCTGCTGGCCAGGCCCATTAAGACTTAAGAGAGATGCCCAATAAAGTAGATCATTCTCCAATTTTTTAGGTGTTTCTGCCTTCTGGACACAAAGTGAGTCATCTTACATCTTGTGCATTGTGACAAATGCTATGTTGCTCATGAGTCTTTAGGACCTTTCTAGTTAAAACAGTCCAATAGCCCATTTGTGAATATTGTCATTGTTCGCTCGGCAAAAATCCGTTTTTCAGCAACATTTCCGAAAATAAGCCTTTTAGGGTATATTTTGCTTCATAAGTTGTATATAAAAGTGGCCATTATGTCCATTTTAGTGTATCAGAATAGTCTCTACGGTACCGCGACAATTGACCCTCCGACAATTGACCCCCTATGTAATTACACTGGGGTCAATTGTCGCGAAATCTAGGGTTTAGTACGACAATTGACCCCCCTGACAATCGTCCCCCCGACAATTGACCCCCTATGTAATTACACTGGGGTCAATTGTCGCGAAATCTAGCTGTCTTAGTACGACAATTGACCCCCCGACAATTGTAATTAAACTGGGATAAATTAATCGGGTTAGGGTCAGGGTTAGGGTTAGGGTCAGGGACAGGTTCCTGGGTCAGGGTCAGGGTCAGGGTCCTGGGTCAGGGTCAGGGTCAGGGTCAGGGTCAGGGTCAGGGTCAGGGTCAGGGTCAGGGTCAGGGTTAATTGTATTAAATTATATTTTCGGGGGTCAATTGTCGGAGGGTCAATTGTCGGGGGGTAATTTTCGGGGGTCAATTGTCGGGGGGGGGGGGGGGGTCAATTGTCGCCCACTCGTCTCTACGACCTTCCTAGGCGAGAATGTCAAAAATCGCGGAAATTATTCGAACTGTGTCAAGCCAAAAACCGTTTTTCGGCCATATAATTTCCGAAAATAAGTATTTTAAGGTATACATTGCCTCATAAGTTGTATATAAATATGGCTATTAGGCACATTTTTGTGTATGGGAATAGTCTCTACGACGTTTTTGGGCTGAAATACAAAAATTCGAGTGACCGCGAAACCCTGAAAAAGGGTGTGGGCGAAAACACCCGTATTGCATTTAGTTCAAAAATGCAGTGAAGGCCAAATGTTTTAAGAATCATCTAGAGAGGTGATAAGGGGGGGGGGGGGGGGGCAATGACTACCAATGGAGACTTTTGGGGACTAATGGGGACTAAAAATCATGGGGACTAGAGGTCAACTCGTTGACGTAATTCACCATTTGTCCCCATAAGTCCCCAGAATTTTTGACAGTTATTTATGGTTTTCAAGTTAGTTTAATAACGATACGATCGAGATGTTTTGTCCAAGATAAGAGTAGGATAAATCTGACTTAAAAGTAAAATGATAAGCCCGGTTGTAATGTGTTCTACCACTGTACAAGTCAGTTCAGATTGAGGTAAATTGAAGTTTAGCTCTCGTGAAGGTAGAAGTAGCCGACTTGCTGAACTCTTGAATCTTTTGACCCATCAGCATGGACATTATCGGGGAAAATGATCATGCACAATCTTTTGTGAATATTTCCATAAATGATCGTCAAAAACAAAAGAAACCAACGCCAATTTCAAACTACTGAGCATATCATTTCAGACAAATCAATACAAAAGTAATAAGAAAAATTAATAATGCGTTTATTTTCCTTGCGCTACAACTCGTGTTACTAGATCAATCTGATAAAATAAGCGTATATATGCAATATGTCTCCTCAATGTTGTCATTGGTAGTCGCCCCCGCCCCCTCCCTTAATATACATGAGGTACTCTAACAGCCCCCAAGTAGCTCCAAAGAAGTCAGGAATGTCCAGTGACCATTTATAAATATTCTAGACTTCAGTCTTGAGAAGTTTACGATCTGGAGAAGCCAGATTTTTTGAAATCTAAATGGGGACTAATGGAGACTTTTGGGGACTAATGGGGAATTAAAATCATGGGGACTCGGGGTAAAATCGTTGACGTAATTCCCCAAGTCCCCAAAAGTAGTCATTGGCCCCCCCCCCCCCCCCCCCCCCCCCCCGGTGATAACCGTCGAGAAATCGCTTTTAACACGAAAAGCTAACGAGCTAGATGGCCTTTTAGAACGTTTGGGATCCGACTATAGATGACTGAAAACCAATAAAGACACATTAATTTGAATTGAAAATTGAACATTATTTGCTGTACTACACTATTATAATCAAAACAAACACGGAATGAATAGCACAATTCTGGTCTCTACAATCAACCTTAAGTGAATTACACGTGCTCGATCAATAAGAATGGAAAATATCTAAATTTCTAAATTAGTAATTACTCTAGTTTCTAATTCTCAGAAACAATATTCTTGGTTTTTTTAGGAAGTTGAATGGTAGCAATAAGCGTTATTAAGACGTCAACTCAGCTCTTGCCAACAAACAGATCCAACTGGATATACTTGTGAACATTTTTAGTCATCTAAAATAACTTGTACTTGTTAGTAGGGTATGCAGTTAAAATGAGCTTAATTCTCCCAATTTTATCGAAAAAATCAACACGTGGTTAACACGTGGCCAAATTATGTTGGTCGAACCCTGATCCCTGGACTGATTTCAGTGAATATATGGGCAGGCTTAGTGATAGTATTAGTGATGCGGTAATTATGTCGACTAATAAAATCATTTATGAATAATATAACAATTGCATTAACCAACCATTTTTGCTTAAAATCGCTTATTTTCTCAGGTTACTACAATTCAGATCATTGGGATAAACAGCACCCAATATGTTCACTGAGACCACAAAAACCATTATAATTTCTCCTAAAAACATTCCCTGGTTGGCATGGCCAATAATATTTCATTTGACAGGGCCAAAAACTACAAAATTCTAAAACTCTCGCTGCAAAGCACCTTGGGAGATGCACAGTTGTACTACAATAAGCACTTTTTTGGGAGACGACACTGCTTCCAAGAATTCATCAGAGTCGTTCCTGTTCCGGGCTCCCTAGGGCTATACAGGTTCATTTAAATCAAAACCTGATACACTATTAATACCAACCGAGACTTTTTTCTCACATTTTTAATTTTCATATTTCAATAATATTGCAAAGCTTCTTTCTCATTATTTTGCATTTGAAATGATGCACTATTATGACTAATTGCACATCATTTTGACAATTTTGTCAATTAAATACGCTAGCCTGAAATGGAAGAGACTTCCGAATACAGCCAAGAAATAAAATCAAATGGATTGAACTCATAAACTATAGAAATGTTTCTGCTCGGACACTGCTAATAAATACACATAATTATCACATCCTTATAAAACTGGGACGAGAAGGAGGGTCTAGAGAGTAGAGGGTCAGCGTATCAGAGTTATCAGTAATTAGAAGTTACTTAACTTGTTACTTAATTTACTGGGGCCTGCAGTTACAGGAAATGCCAAAATTACATCCAAATTTACTGGATGATAAGGGTCTCGAGAACCGGGAGGAACTCCCGTTTGGGACGGATATTAGTCTTGTGAGGGTATAATGTATTTATGGTACTATTTTTTTAGGTATTTTCAAGTTATTGGACACCGGTAAATTTACTATTCCAATCTACTCATGATCTTAATTTTATATATTTCAATTTTGGTGCTAAAAATACTTACAAAATTGAAAGTTTACTACTGGACTAACCAATTAACCTTAATTTAAGTTATAAAAACTTGGCTCAGTGTACAAAACAGTTTATAACAATTAAGGCCTGATTTCATCACCATGACGATCCCAACAATGACCCTTTTTCCATTAAATTCGATTAAGACAAGCTTGTCAGCTGGAGTTATCTTCTTTACTGAACTTCTGGGTGAGCTTCATAACATAGGAGATCTCTTTAGCAGTCAAGTCAGTTCCTTCAGTGGCAATCTTTTCTAAACCCTGAAACAGTTTAATTCAGAAATTCAGAAATGTTTACAAACTTGTTAACTGCCTATACTTTGCAGCAACAGCCGTGTGTAAAAAAGAGCCTTCGTTGTTAACAAACACTCAAGAGAGAGGAGCGTACATTGTACTTCGGAGAATTAGCCGTGTACTCCAAATTCCCGCTCTCACTGGAACACTAGCGAGTAATAATGAGGACAGGAACGGCAGTACAGCTACCATAACACGCCGCTCCTCTCATTTACCACGCACCATAACACGCCGCTCCTCTCATTCACCACGCACCATAACACGCCGCTCCTCTCATTTACCACGCACCATAACACGCCGCTCCCTCTTAATATAAGCGATACCAAACACGTTACCTCCATATATTGGCTAGGGACCCGGGTCATGTATTATACAGTGTATATATAATACGTTATTATATATAACAGTATTCGGATTATTGAAAATCTCATGAGGCTCACAAACGAGTGGGTCAACTCATCACAGACTCGGAACTAACCTTGAGAACTTCAGAGGTTTTGATGTCGTTTCCAGTATCGGAGGGAAGTGCTTCAAGGATGGCCATGAGTTGATCTTTCTTACTGACATTCAGGATCTCGTTTATAGCATTCTTGATTTCCTGCTTGCTCAGGACACTGTAATATCAGGTAACCAATTAGAATCGGATTAGAATCCTAACTTTCGCTACACGGTATGTACAAAGATTATGATTAGACAGAAACGAAGGATCTAAGAAGAAAGGATTTACAAATCAAGAAAAACTAAACGTATAATGTAGACTGAAAGTGTTCAATGATGTGCCAGCTCGAGAAATCACGAACAGTTATGGAAAGACAAGTCGCATGTTAATAATCAGTCAAGGGGCCATCTACTAACATCTATTAACAATGAATTTGAGTTCGTTTTATTTGTACTCTTAAAAGTAGCTGGAAATCCGGACGTTCGGGGGAGGCCGAGGGGGGGGGGGTAATTTTGAAAATTCGGACACACCCGGACAGGGGGAGGGGGCCGGGGTGGTCTGAAAATCTAAGTAGATGGCCCCCAAGACGAAGGCAGAGAACAGAAAACTCAATAACTTACACATCTTCTAACTAATTAATTACTAATTAATTACTTACACATCCTCGCTCTTGTCGGAAACTTCGGAGGATGAGTCCCTTTCCTGTTGGAGCCCGGTTTCTAGTTGAGTTAGAACTTTATGAGAATGGTTGAGCATCTTAGCAACTTTGTTGGAGAGCAGTTTGTTCTTCGCGGAGGCTTTTACTGATCCTTCTTCTACCGTCTGCAAAGTGGGAGTTTTTACACTTTCTCATAATGTAAATAAAAACGAAGATTTTCTTTGTATGAGTTTCTATACGTTACTAGAATCTTCGCTAACTCATTATTGCTAAAGACATAATCCCATTATTACAAAATATTATTGCTATGAGTGCGAATTAACATCAGTCATTGTTATTCTCAAAATTTTGTGGCTTTATTTGGAACTGACCATATGATAGACCAGCGCTTTTTCGATGAGGTCTCGCAGCTCTCCCTTCTCCTCCAAAAGTGGGTTCTTCTTGTCTCTGAGACCGGTAATGAGTTGTTGGATCTCTGCCACCTCTTGTCTTCTGAACTCGATCTGGTCTTCTGTTAGGATCGGTTTAGCCATGTCCTTCAGGGTTTCCTTTTTCATCTGCAGGTTAGCTGCCACACGGGTGTTACTAGACTCCTTAGCCTCTTGCTGAAATGAAATAACACTTAAGATGATGTTTCAGTCGTGTACTGAAGTTCTCAATAAGCAGCTAATTTCAGTGAGGAAATATGATTATCAGAGATATTTTTGGTGAGGACCGACGATGAATGATTATTAGCGATCCTTCACATTATTTACCTCTTCTTTAATTCTGTCTTTCTCCGAGTCGATGAGATCCTTCCTAGCCTGCTGATCTTTCTCTGACTTGATCATCTCTTCCTGTGCTTTCACAGCTTCAATTCGAGATCTGTTATCAATCTTCTCACCCTTTTGAGCGGCCAATGTGATCTTAGCTTCTCCAATCTGAAAGTTTTGGTTCACGTTACGTTCAAGTATGTTTACTCCAGCACGATTTGCAGAATTTAATTTCAGAAGCGTAGGCAAAATGTAAAAACCCTAAACCAATCCTTTTAATCGTAAAATTTGAGACTTGACTAACAGTTAACAATCCAATTAAAAATGCACCCAGCGTAATTAAATGTGAACTTACAAGGGTAGCAGGAAGATGAGCGACAGCGTTTCTAAGATCCTCGTAAGTAATCGCATTTCCTGCGGGCATGGTCGATACCCTACTAAGGAGCAGAAGAGACATTGGGATCTTCTTATCCAAACTAAGAATCATCCACTGAGGAGTTGGAGTGTTAAGAAGAAAACTTATGATGGTTCAAAGCAAACTAATCTGGATAAATGTGTAATGTGTAATGTGTATACGGGGATGGAGTTTTATACAGCGGGGGAATCTTACATTATCAAGCGCCGTTCCCTCCACGTCACTATAATAATAGACACTGATGACTGATATTATCGAGAATGTAAAATGTCTGTCTATTTCTTTGCACGTTATTTAAATGATGCTATTTATACCTGATCGAGTTGGTTTCTGAGTCGTTCTATGGATACCCCCACAGCTCTCATACCCCTCTCTGCATTTGCATTCTGCAGTTCTAAACCAGTCATTGCTTCCAGTCCTTCGTATCTAATCATCTGTAAAACGGTGTTTAAGAATTAAGAATGCTAATAAGGCAAGAATTTCTCAGAAGATTTTCAGAATAAAAAGTAGTGTCATAAAATTGCGGAATAATTGGGGAACATGTTAGTTTTATGGGTTGCTCCACGTGAAGCCCAAATTCACTTGAACGTAATCAAGAGCTCTCATTATCTCCCAAGGTATTGATAGCAACCAAAGAGTTCGAGCATTTCCTTCTTATGTTAAGGACTCACCATGTCGTCTTTCTTGAGAGAATTCATCTTGTTCCGCAGTCTAAATCTCAGGAAGGCGTCTGTGTGGAACCCAGTATCAATGTTAATAAGTTGGCAGATGGCAACCAGGTACTGTCGGGGCAAGTTATCCAAGGTCAGTTCCTCAGAAAACAGTTTGGAGAACGACACCAGCTCTTCAATGTCATCACGAGGATCGCTGCTTCGAGTCTAAGAATTGTTCATATGTTAAACGTTGTAATTCTTAAAATTAATATGATCATGGTTTATCTTACTGAAAACACCAGTACGCTTAAAAGACGTACGTACGTGCCCTGATGTGCTAGCAACGGATGAATATAATGCGCGGCGTTTGTACGTGTTGTATAAATTATATATTACATATATATATATTATGATTGGCTACTGGGACACGTCATACACACGGTTGGATTGTTAATTCGGTTGAAGTACCTTTACATCCATTATCACCATAATCTGAACATGATTTATTAAAAATTTGCAATATCGAAAACGAAAAATCTGAATAAACTGAAAATTTTAAAACTGAAAGCTGCACTCAATTGATGGAAGGCAAAAATTTACTCATAACTAGCAAGGTAATAACTACAAATGAACAGCAGATTTATAAATCTGCTGATAAAAATTAGATAAAAGACAAGGTAACTGATAAGAGTTTTAAAATTACACGTAAGCAGATAAATTGTCTAAAATTTCTGTCTCAAATCAAGTTTATAGTGCATCATGAATTTAGGCTTGTTCGATCAAAGTTATATTAGGAGATATTAGGAAAATAGTTCGGTCGGCCGGAAGGGAGTCCAGACTGAGTGTGGTGTGGAGGCAGGATCACCGAGAGACTCGAGATGCTTGTGAGAGTAGTGTACTCATCTAACCGCCATCCAGTATGTGCCACCGGTAGAAATACATATATTATGATTGGCTACTGGGACACGTCATACACACGGTTGGATTGTTAATTCGGTTGAAGTACCTTTACATCCATTATCACCATAATCTGAACATGATTTATTAAAAATTTGCAATATCGAAAACGAAAAATCTGAATAAACTGAAAATTTTAAAACTGAAAGCTGCACTCAATTGATGGAAGGCAAAAATTTACTCATAACTAGCAAGGTAATAACTACAAATGAACAGCAGATTTATAAATCTGCTGATAAAAATTAGATAAAAGACAAGGTAACTGATAAGAGTTTTAAAATTACACGTAAGCAGATAAATTGTCTAAAATTTCTGTCTCAAATCAAGTTTATAGTGCATCATGAATTTAGGCTTGTTCGATCAAAGTTATATTAGGAGATATTAGGAAAATAGATATATAATATATATTGATAATTCCAGAATGCGCGCGCGCGTCTTAAAACTACGTGCGCGCGCGCCATACCCTCTACAAATTCACGAGTTTTGAAGAACGTTTTGGCCAAAAAACAGCGGGCACGATGTCTCATATTCCAGAACATGCCGTGACATAATTGAATCCAGAAAACATTTCCTTGAATTTTGTGCGAGATTTTGTGTACGTTTTGTATGGAATTTTCAGATATTTTGGGATGGGCGTGGCCCGGCCCTGGGAGTGGCCTGAATGGGTCGAGAGGTCGAAACTTGGATTTTCTGTTGGTTTGGGATAGGTACTACTTAATTAACCACCGAAACATGTGCCACCTACCCGGGAACACTAATCGCATACAGTGGTGAAATCGCATACAAATCGCATACAAAATCAAGGAAACGTTCTCTTATTAAATCTAGTATAAACGCATTTCTGTACTTGACTGTAGCTACCTTTGCGATGAACTCTCCAAACTTTTCCAACTCCATGGGTTTGGCCTTCTGGGTGGTGATCATAGAAACCATGGAATCTTGAACAAACTTCGCTAAATCAAGCTTAAGCTTCAGTTTCTTGAGTTTCTTTTCTCTCTTCTTATCGATGGTTTCAAACGTACTGTAAGAAGAATTTTAATACTTTCAACACTACTATAATATATAGTTTGTTATATATAACAAATTATTATTTGTTATATATAACAAATTATTATTTGTTATATACAACAAATATATAACAAATATATAACAAATAATATGAGCATGAATACGAAGTTGTTACTTTGAAACGTCGTTTATCCTAACAGTGCAGTATCATTTGTCGCAAAAATCAGAATAATCAGAAATTATCATCTGTCTATTGCTATGCGACTAATAAATATTGTTCCAGTCCGTAATCTTTGTAAGAAGAATGGTAGATAAATAATCCCCCATCACCTCAGAGGACGTATTGCAAACGTTGATGGAAATACAAAGTATCTTAAACAATGCTTCATTTTTAATGAAATTTATTTCAGATTACAATATTTGTTTGCATGAAAAATAAAAAATGTGTGCCTTTTTCTTAATAGTAGAGATATTTGGCTTTATGAGGGATAAAAATAAGTTTACTATCATACGTTACCTTGGCAACATTCCAGGAAAGAAGTAAAGAGCGACAGGAAGTAACAGTTCCATAAAGGGAATGATGATGAACATGGCAAACGGGACCAATCTGAACACATCACCCACTGTTCTCTTTAACTAAAATCACAGGTTTTACTTTTGGTACACTGTATATTACGCTTTACCGCCTAAAAACTTAAAATCATCTTAGCGATTTAAGATAATAACTAATCTAAAGAGTTAAAACTATGTATGCTATTTATATGTATGCAACTTGAGAATACCGAAGTGAATAGAGATTTAACATTTAACAAGATCTAATACCTGATTCTGTTCACGTCGTGTCAAAGATTCCCCTCTGAAAATCTTCTTGGAAAGTCGACTAGAAATCTTAACTTCAATGAATAGAAGCTTGCATCCATCGTAATTATGACGTAGGAATCCCTTGAAAGCAGTCCACGATCTTACAATCAAAGGCTTCGGGGACGATAAAACTAATGATGTGGTTTTGGGGGTCTCAACAGTGACTAATTTTTCAACAGTGAGCTCTTCTGAAGCTGCTACATTGGCTGATTTTACAGTCTCAACGTCTGACTTAACCTCAGTTTTGGTATACTCCTCTGATTTCTTCTCCTCTCTTAACGAAACATCGTCTGTTTCGGAGGGTTTATTGTCTGAAGAAAGGCTCTCAACATGTTTAACAGTTTGAGTAAGATCTATTTTGGGGTTCACCAGATGTATTGGAATATCAGGTGAACTGGAGGAGGAAGGAGACTTGTCCGTGCTGTAAACTCTAAAGGTAACCAGTGGTGTGATGTACTCGTGACACAGGACATTGTCGTGCTTGAGCCAGGACGCGCGCTTGTGTAGGGTGTAAAGTCGCTGTTTGGAGTGGTGGGACCTGGTTATGAGAGCATTGTGGCGCTGTGCTGCTGCTGCTGCTCCCGACCTGAAATGTAGGACATGGTAAAGTAGGATACGTGTAGGATATGTAGGATACGTGTAGGATATGTAAGGTTAATGTGATGTGTGTGTTTGCACTGACGAGACATTTAAAACTAGTTGCCAAAGCCCAAAAGTGAGCTAAGCAATTTATAGTTTGGCAGATACACTCTTCAGTACATAATTAATAATGATACTATTCATTATCATCCACAAAAGTAACGTTTTTATCGACAAATATGAAGGGAAGAATTGGCAGGCATCCAAGTAATATTTTCAAGACTATTTTATATGACGAAGACTGTACCTAACCACGGTCTGACGAATTCACTCCTGCATTTCCGTCTCTAAAGTTTGCTTTAACTAATTAGTTTAAGTGTAGAAAAGGTCAACATCAGAGTAATCTATCTAACTAATTGGCATGTAACCTTAAATCCAGAGATTTAAGCTTAATGTTAAGGAACTATTCAACCTTACAAATTTAGCCATGAAAAGAAACAAGTGGAAGGCACTTGATATACCTCAGATGACTAACAGATAGTGTAGGAGACTCATGAACCAAAGAGTTAACACAGGTTTTTAGAAATAACAGTAAATATAGGTACTACGTAGAAAATTGACATCGAAAAATGTTGCCTTAAACTTATAATTACACTTTTACAGTTAGATTAGCCGTTAGCGTATATAATATAATTACACACTCATACTCCTGTCATGTCGTCTTTATAATGTTTGCTTACGTAGTCTAGATATAGGTAGTATAGGGAAACATCCAAATTACGTTGAGAACTTTTGTGACACATTTTCAAATGCAGCAACTGATATGCAAAAGGAGCATCAAAAGGATCACTGATTAGTGATCGTTATGAATGTGTTAGGAATCGATCAAATTAATCCTTTCTCTAAGACTTTGTAAATGTCATATCTTATTAACACATATTTTATATAAATAGTTGTCTTTTGAGAAAAACAAATTGAAATGATCTACAATGTCATCTACCGCTCCTGTACGTAAAGTGATAATATTCGTGTGTGTGCGTGTGTGTTATAATCACAAGCAACACTTGCAATACGTGATCATGTTAAATTCCATTGTATTATGTGCTGTGTGTATGAGTAGATCTCACGTGACTATCTTGAGAGATCTATTTGGCACACTAACACATCCGTGACATGTACACTTTCAAGAAAGATGAAGGAATTACTCAAAGTCTATATTCTAGGAGATTTCAACAGATTCAACTTTATAGTTGTACCTCTTTTCCCTTCCCCTTTATTTTAACGTGTTGAACTATTTTACTGTCGTTTTTCATTACATAATGTAAAACAATTGAACGATGTGAGATCACACACAATTACTACATACAACTATCGTATGACCTAATATCTAATGGTAGAGTTGACAGTTGTATGACGTTGGTAAATGACAAGCAAAAGCAAAACTTTTGTAAGCCTATGTCGAGTGTTTACAGGACCTACTTTAGAAATTCAAAACATCTGCTGTTTCAAAGTACTTAATTAATTACAATAATGTACATAATCTTGAAACAATTTCACTAACGACAAACAACTTTTAAACGACTACATACACTGTTCATGATTCATGTCATATCCTAGTTGTTAAAAGCATAGCTAATATGTCCTGATCTCAGATCATTAAATAGTTTTACATTTAAATCATTAATGATAATAAATAATAATAATAAAATTTGGTAGCTTAAACACAAACTCTAAGCCCAGTGGATAAACCACAAAACTTATGCTCTATTGTGTGAAACAAAGATACTAGATCAAGATAACTATCAAGGAGTGTATGCATAGGACATAAAAAGTTTTGGAACGAAGATGACATGCTTATGAAGCGAGCTAACAGTCTAATTGCTAATAAGTTCAAAAAGATCATGACATTAGGTTGCATCCTAAACAGTTTAAGCAAATAACATAAAGTTATATTGTCAATTAATCGCTCATGACATAACTTTTCTTAAACAGGTGAGTTTTTAATAATGTTTTGAACAGATCAACATCAGAACAAGTCTTAATTTCAATTGGTAGTTGGTTCCAGATGATAAGTGACAAACAAATTAAAATACAGTAAAACCCTGATTTATAGCAGCTACTCCTTCCACCAAATTTCATTAAAGAATATTGAGAACTCTAGGGCCTGAATTACTGTATATTCAGGTGAGTTGGTATAAAAGAACTAGAGTCTAGATACCTTACAGTTGATCTTACATAATATTGTGTTGAAAGGAGTATAAAATAAATGCTTGTTATGCTATTAGCTAGTTACATCATCTCTCATAGGATGGTAACATATTTCATTGTTCTTGTATAACTACTACTACTACTATTAACCACTACTCAAAACAGACTCTTGATAATGTCGATTATAAGGATCCAGCATGTTTGGGGGGTAATATACCGTTCCCCCTCCCATTTTTTCGTAAATATGAAATTGTTGGATATTTGAATAACTGTGAACCGTCCGTTATGTAATTGCATATATAATATTCAGACTGACAAATACAATTAGACATGTGAATTGTGAACTGGTAGTGCTTTTAACAAGCCATTACATGTACACAGTACATTGTACATTAATTCCGGAAGTACTGATTACGCAACTAGTTAGATATTTATCACGGAGAATGAGGTCATACACAGAAAGCTGCTGTCACGTGACGATAATCAGTTTAAATCGGATACGTGGCAATTAATTTGTTTAAATTTTACAGCTGATTGACACGGCATATTACCTTACTGAATGTAAACTTTTGCCTTGTACTTATTAAGGTTTTGACGATCAGGCTATTAAAGACACATCACAAAATACTCGGACTTCAAATATTTAATCAAATCTCACCTGTTACGAAGCTGTCTGGATACCCCTGAAATAAGAGTGAAAGTGTTATCTACAAGTTCATTGCAAAACAGAATTAAGTGCAATACGATATCAAATTTGAAGTCCGTAATAAAGAATAAAAGAAACGATATTGCCGAATTGGCAAATAAATAGTTCGACTTGATTACCTTTATCAATCAAATTTATTTTAATTATAATTCTAATATATTATATAACTTATCCAATACAAGTAAAAATAGATGAACATTAGTAGAAATATTTGATTAATTAAATAAAGAATTGAAATTACCGTTGGAGTAGCTAGATGATACTATACGTGGTAGTGATCTCGTACAGTTCACACATTGTCTAAAAATCATGACATGCCAGTCTGAGCTGGAGGAAAGAGGAGTTTAGCAAGGTATAAATAAATTCTAACATTTTTTACAGTTACACGCAGTGTTATTCAGTAAGTATATCAGGTATTCATGATGTAATAGAAATAATTGTTTGAAGCTAAATGATGAAATCGTTTTCTTGTTTATTGATTCACTACAGTAAACTCAACACTTGAGTAACCATTTGCAATGAATAAAACAAATTGTTAGTGTGGTGAGAATAGCAACTCAGGTGAGAATAGCAACTCAGCCACTCTGATAGAGGATTCTATGAAGCACACCAAAGTAACCAAAGTAAGTAGTATGGCAGTGCAATTATTTGCAGTTGTTAAAAATAGTTGTCATTTAAAATACATCAATTTAATAAATTAATCATTGAATCAGCTTTTGTGGAATTTTTGGCCGAATGTTATTATAATGTAGAAATTACTCAACCCATTGGCCATTACCCTTAAATCAATATGTACATAAAAATCATAACCAAACCCTGCAAACGTCATTTCCCTGTTATCAAAAGTAAGACCAAAAGTTGACTTTATCTCTAAAATGTGTTTATAGCATATTTGCTGTTGAGTGGCCAGTTGTAGGTCGACTCAGGAGAATTGAAATATTCCTTAAGCTCAGGCAACCCTCTGATTCTCTTCATGAACATTTTCAGATTATCATGTTCAATGAATGTGGGTTCCATCTTAACAAACCGGTTAATAGACTCAAACATCCAGAAATCAGTCCCTGTTATGTCGTCTCCAGCAAAATACTTGTTATCTCCAAGAGCACTGGAAAACTGCTTCATGAACTCTTTTCCGTGTGTAACAACAGCAACTTTGTTAGACTTAAAATTATCAGGGGTTGTGTCATAGCAAAGTCCATAAAAGCATGATCCAAAGTCTTCGATAGCATGATCGATCATGTCATAACGAGATATATCAGCAGGATTTGACCCCTTTGGGAACAGTCCAGTTTTAGCAGAGAGGTAATGAAGAATAGAGATTGATTGAGTGAGCTTCACATCACCATCTATCAAGTACGGAAGGTTTGGAAAGTCTAGTCCTAGGGTGAATTTGACATCAAACCACACGGATTTATCAAAGTTTGGAGCATCCCCTGGTTCGTAAACAACTTCCTCATAGTCAATGCCAGCATAGCGAAGAAGCATCCTCATTGGTTCAGCTAATCCCCTAATTTTCCAGTATCCAAGCTTCATTCTACGTCTCTCGAGGGCCAATATAATGCTCTAGGGGTTGAGATGGATGGAAAAGATGTTATCAGTAAAATGCTCACACAATTCAGTGTGTAGAGAATGCTAAACAGGAAGATGTTCTTAAGGTTGACAATGAAGATGTACTTGACAAACAACTCACTCGTCCATGCCCTGGAGTTGATTGAGAGACAATAAAATATATAAAAATTAATATATAATCAATACAAAACTACGTGTCTCTACTCTCTACCAGTAAATTTTACAGCCCGGGAGCTTTCAAAACTTAAGTCTGCATTATTGTCTGCGTTCAATAGAAATTATTGTTTAAAGCTAAATAATGAAATTGTTTTCTTGTGTATTTATTCACTACAGCATACTGAACACTTGAGTAGTGATTTGCAGTGAATAAAACAAATTCTTAGTGCGGAGAGAATAGTAAGACAGTGCAATTATTTGTCGTTGTTAAAAAATAGTTGTCATTTAAAATACATCAATTTAATAAATTAATCATTAAATCAGCTTTTATGGAATTTTTGGCCAAATATTATTATAATGTAGAAATGTTTCAACCCATTACCCTTAAATCAGTATGTACATACAAATCATAACCAAACCCTGTAATCTTCATTTCCCTGTTCTCAAAAGTGAGACCCATATTATAAGCATGATCCAAATATATGCTGTGTTAAATTTGATTTTATTTCTGTCTATCTAAATACAGCATGTTTGTTGTTAAGTGGCCAGTTGTAGGTCGACTCAGGAGAATTGAAATATTCCTTCAGCTCAGGCAATCCTCTGATTCTCTCCATAAACATTTTCAGATTATCATGTTCAATGAATGTGGGTTCCATCTTAACAAACCGATCAATAGCCTCAAACATCCAGAAATCAGTCCCTGTTATGTCGTCTCCAGCAAAATACTTGTTATCTCCAAGAGCACTGGAAAACTGCTTCATAAACTCCTTCCCACGTGCAACAACAGCAACTTTGTTAGCCTCAAAATTATCAGCAGTTGAGTCGTAGCAGAGTCTGACACCAATAAGAACGAAGTCCATGATAGCATGATCGATCATGTCATAACGAGATATATCAGCAAGATTTGACCCCTTTGGGTACAGTCCAGTTTCAGCGGAGAGGTAATGAAGAATAGAGATTGATTGAGTGAGCTTCACATCACCATCAATCAAATACGGGAGGTTTGGAAAGTCAAGTCCTAGGGTGAATTTGACATCAAACCAAACAGATTTATCAAAGTTTGGTGCATCACCTTGCTCGTAAACAACTTCCTCATAGTCAATGCCAGCATAGCGAAGAAGCATCCTCATTGGTTCAACTAAGCCCCTAATTTTCCAGTATCCAAGTTTCATTCTACTTAAACTCATGTGGCGCTGAGGATATAGAATTCTATTTAATAAAATGTGATGAGCAATATAACTTTTTTGTTGTTTTTGATTTTGTTAGTGGATGGAATAGTGAAACAAATTTTTTTATGTTATCAGTGAAATCCTCAAACAGTGCAGTGTGTAGAAAAAAAGAGGAGGATGTTCTGAAGATTGACAATTAGGATGTGTTTGTAGAATTTAAATATTTTTCAGAACTGATATGAACTAGCAGTCACAATAAGTCAGCCGAGTTGTCACGTACCGTGACATTAGAGATGATCAATGCAAGTTCCATTCGTTGAACTCCGGAAAAATAAGAAAAAAACAATTTTATTTAGTATAAATTAAAGCAAACCTTTATACCAGACATCTTAGGGGACTTGGAGTAGCAAGAGAGTGGCTAGAAGGTATATACCTTTTACAAAAATACGCTGAAAATAATCCAAGGTGATATAGGATTAGAGAGTGCAGACCGTGAAGTTTACGCACCCACCCTTGCCTCCTGAATTCTTGGTTTGGTAAGAAGAATTGAAAAGCTGCAAAAATCCAAATAAATAAGACGTAGAAGATTTGACAACACTATTTTAAAGCAGAATTGTGTGATTTCGATGCATCCAGAGCAGTTCTTGATTCCGTCAACCAGAAGTACAGGAAATGATAAGAATGATAAGAAACTTAATTGAGGATTAAATGAGGAGGGGTACCTGTTAAAAGTTCAAGAAACTTCCTAGGATACCCCTTCAGTGCACACTGTAAACATAGTACTATTAAGGGGGCCAAAATTGATTTTATAGTGGTTTCTGATAGAGGGGAGTGATATCTATCAGCTGCTTTAATTTTGGTCCCATGGAAAAAAATTGTTCCTAGCCAAAATTATCGCCAGTCAAAGGTCAGCGCTTATGTGTAATTGTATTGCGCGAGCGATTTTCAATCGCGCGCCCTGAAAATCTATCTTCTCCTACATTTTTTGAGCAATCACCCTGATTTTTTATTCAATTTTGAAAATCTTGGACCTGGAAAAATCGTCAAAAAATGAGGTCCAAGATTTTCAAAATTGAATAAAAAATCTTCTAAGGCCTATCTCAAAATTCGGCTGGACAGATATCTTCTTAATGATCCATAGAACATATGCTGAAAGTTTCAGGGTGATTGCTCAAAAAATGTAGGAGGAGATAGATTTTTAGACTCGATTTTCAGAGCGCGATTGAAAATCGAGTTTCAGGGTGATTGCTCAAAAAATGTAGGAGGAGATAGATTTTTAGACTCGATTTTCAGAGCGCGATTGAAAATCGCTCGTGAAATACAATTACACATAAGCGCTGACCTTTGACTGGCGATAATTTTGGCTAGGAACAATATTTTTCCATGGGACTAAAAGCAGCTGTTAGATATTACTCCCCTCTATCAGAAACCACTATAAAATCAATTTCGAGATAATTTTGATGAAGACTCCCCCCCCGGCCCCCTTAACTATTATTACTAACTATTCTGTCAAATGCAGCATGATAAAATAAATTGCATAAACTCTTCTTAGAACGTAAAGGCACCACTCACACATTACACAAGCCAACCTTCGGCTTATGTCAAACATTCAAAGTCCCTTTCATTAAATTTTCAGCTAATGAAGAATATGGTAAATTAAAAGTTTGGAACATGTAGGTTATTCTGCTTAATTATCTGTTCAATCTACCGGTAAAGCAAATACGTACATCTGAAAAGTTGTGATCTGTGAAAACTAGACTCGGTTGAGAATTTTATTAAACTTATATGGAAACAACATTAATTAATGTTGGTGGGGAAATATTTATTACATATTTTTTCCCATAGTGTGATGATATTTTGTAGACATATGTGATGATGTGATGTCATACATTTTACTTAAAGTAAAGTAGAGTAAAGTAAAGTAAAATTTATGACATCACATCATCACACATGTCTACAAACTATCATCGCACTGTGTGAAAAAATATATAATAAATATTTCCCCACCAACATTAATTAATTATCAAATACAATATTTAAAAACAATTTCATCAAAAACATTATCCTATTTTAAAAACTTCCCAGTGGAATAAAGATTTATAAAACGCTTCTTTGCCACATAAGGATGGAACCAAAGATAATTGTTATGTTTCTCTTTATTACTGACATAACTGGCTCCCTCAATTCTTACTAAAACTTCATTAGAAACATTCCAAAAAAAGCAATCGTTTGTAATACTTTTAGAAATCATATCTACCTTATATCCTTCTAATTTAATTTTAAAACCTAAAACTGTCACAGAGTTCTTGACGTCCGGAGGGAGTTTGTTCCAATATGGAATAACTCGCTCCGGGAGAAAAGACTTCTGGATATTCTTGACCTTTGTCACACTTTTACTACATCTATTGGATGAAACCAGATTAAGACCTGATCTGCTTGGTCTGAACAAGTCTGAACCATAATCAGTCATAGCATTAATAACCTTAAAAGCTTCAATAAGGTCCCCACGTATTCGCCGCTCTGCCAGCGTTGTCAAATTGAGGATTTCCAGTCTACGGCTGTAAGGAAGAGTACCCACCTCATCAATCAGACGGGTAAACCGCCTCTGGACGCTCTCCAGCTCCAAAACAGTCCCCCAACTTCCATGAGCCGCAGGTGGATTCCACAATTGGACACAATACTCAAGATGAGGTCTTATTAAAGCTTTATATATAGCAATCATAACAACCTTTTCTCTAATAACTAAATTCCTTACAATCCAACAAATCATACGATTTGCCTTAGCGATACATGCTTTGATCTGTTCGTTCCAAAGCAGGGAGCTATGGGTAATAACCCCCAAATCTTTTTCCTGATCAGATACTTCAAGTTCTATACCATTTACCTTATAATTTAAATTAGGATTGTTGTTAAAATTAATGTGCACTACTTTGCACTTGGCAGGATTAAATTGTAAAAGCCAAATACTTTCCCAAACTTCTAATACTTCGATATCTTCAGCAACACTACCGTGGTTAGCTGCATTACCAATTAATTTAAGATCATCAGCAAATAACTTTATCTTATTTTTTACAAGGTCAGGCAAATCATTAATATACAGAATGAATAGGAGAGGGCCTAGAACTGACCCCTGAGGAACACCAGATAAAACATGTTTAACCTCGGACCATTGTCCTTCTACAGAAACCCTCATAGTCCTGTCTGTCAGAAAATCTTTAATAACATCTAAAACCTTTCCTTTGACACCAAAGCCTTCCAATTTAGACAGAAGTCTAAAGTGGGGGACTGTGTCGAACGCCTTACTAAAATCAAAGTATAGAAGATCAACCGGGGCACCTTCATCTAAAATGTCAAGAATGTCATCAAATGTCTCTAAAAGATTAGATAAACACGATTTACCCTTAACAAATCCATGCTGATGCTTCGAAATTCGATGTTCTAGAAAATTTAAAACATGTGCTCTCACCAACTTTTCATACACTTTGCACAAAATACAAGTTAATGAAACTGGTCTATAATTTAAGGGGTCTGATTTAATACCCTTTTTAAACAATGCTACAACAGATGCAGATTTCCACACTGCAGGTAAAGATCCTGTATCTGAACACTTTTGAAATAATTTAGTTATTGCTTCAACAAAATTGTTGTCATAAGCTAGCGATTTCAACAACTTCGGATGAACACCATCCGGACCAGAACTCTTAAAAATGTTAAGCTTTAAAAGTTGCTTTTTTATATCAGAGCTGTTGACTTCCATATCATCAATATCATCAATACTCTCATTGTCAGGTCTTAAATTCTCAGTTTTAGGGAGAGGGCCAGGTGGTTCACGCACAAAAACAGAGCTAAAGGCACTTGCGAGTACCTCAGCTGACTCAGTCGAACTATCTGTGCGTGTACCATCTCCTCTATCTAAAGAAACCACACTAGACTTAACTTGACGTTTATTTCGTAAATAAGAGTAAAAAGACTTACAATTCTGCTTCAGATTAGATGTAATTTTCTTTTCATAATTAACTTTAGCTTTAATTTCTGCTAATTCATAAGTATGTTGTTTGCTACTTGCATAACTAAAATTAACATCAGATGGATTAATATCAAACTCAGCCCATGCTTTATCTTTATTCTTTCTCATTCGTTTAAGTGCAGATGTACTCCATGGCAACTTGACAGGTCTGTTGTCGAGATAAACCGAAGCAGTCGGAACAGCTGCAGCAACAGTCTCCAGTTTACCATGTAATTCAGCCCACATATCTTGAACATCATTGGTAGAACTATAATCCCAGTCGATATTTTTCAAACTAAAATTTAATAACTCTTCAGAGGAAATCTTACCCCATATAGGTTTGATAATCTTCTCTTTTAAACATTTGCTAGTATCCGGCGAAACAACTAGTTCGACAAGTATCCCAACATGATCACTCTTACCAAGCGGAGAAACGATCTTACAACCGTTGACAAGAGCATCATTTGTATACAGGACCTGATCAAGAAGACTCTCCTGGAGAGTATCCTTCACAAGCCGTCTTCTAGTTGTCTCGTTGGTGAAATACCAAGTTAAACCACTGTCATTGAAAACATCCATGAATTTCTGTTGAGTAACTAAAAACTGGTTCTTGCTAGCAATATTACTATTTATGCTACCAGTTTCCCATAAAACATTTGGTAAATTAAAATCTCCTAAAAGGAGTGTTTCAAAATCATTCCTTTCACTACAGATGCTCTTGATACAAGATATTAACGCATTATTCTGTTCTAAATTCAATGAAGTGGATCTGTAAATACAACAAATACTAATCAGTCCACCTGATGTGTTGATATTAACAGCTAAAGAATCCGGTGCCTTTAAAAAAGAGTTCACTAGTGAAGCATTACAACAGTTTTTAACATAAATTATAGAGCCTCCTCCACCACTTATACTGCCAGTGGAATTGTCAATTCTAAAATCTCTATCTTTTCTAAACATACTAAATCCTTCAATATAAATTTCGGCATCTAATATATCACTACTAAAATGAGTTTCTGTTACACAAATTACCTCAATAGATTTATACATTGATAAAATACATTTTAGTTCATCAATTTTATTAAATAGGCCGTTAGCATTGGTATAAAAAATATTTAACGGCTGGGCACTGCGGCCTCCGCTTTGTCCTCTGTCTTCTCTGGCTCTCTTTTCTTTGCCTCCTCCTTCGTCTTCTCTGTCTCTCTTTTCTTCGCTTCCTCCTGCCTCTTCTTCCTCTCCTTTCTGGCTAAAAAACGAATATCTCTGTCTGCCTTACAGAGGTCCAAGTTGATCCAATAAGTTGACTCTTTCCAGCCCTTACCATGGTCAGCGTAGAAATTTACTGACTCTTCATCTCGTGTCTGGATGATGAGCGGGCGACGGTGATCTGGCTTGTCAGCATCAAGCTTGCCAGAGCGATGGCAACTTATCATGTCGTCCTTCTTAATCTTTAGGGTCTCCCTGCAGAACTTGGAGTCGTCCTCCTGGCGTTGCTTAGAGGTAGTCTTTTTGCTCTCTGGAACCTTGAGCACACACAGATTGAGTTTTCGTTTGTTTCGCTCAAATGTATCAGTGTGCATCTTCATTTGCACTTCCGAAATAACAGTTTCAGAAGCTTGTTCACGACTCATGTCATCGAGAACCTTCTTCTGGGTTTGTGCTGTTACCTCAGAATAGAGACGAACAGCTTTATCAACTGTTTTCTCTGCACTTCCTTTAATAGCTTCCTTAATCGAGTTAGTCAGGGCTGGGGTCAAATGTTGGAGTTCCTCTTTAATAATAGCCCTGACAGCCCCGTTTTCCTTAGTGTCAGCTGAGGTATGAGGCGCCACAAAACAGTATGGGCACTTCCAGTTTGTAAGATTCAGTAACATCTCGTTTTTAAGGCCAGATAAACCAACACAACTCAGGTGCCAAAATAATTGGCAAGCTTCACACTCAACTGATAGTTCTTCTGACATGTAAACATCACATTGGCAGTATTTTTCCTCTGGCACTGGGACATTATCAGAAGATGAATCCTTAGGGGGACTCGTCTTGACTCCACGTTTTTTTCGTATCGACACCCTCTCGGGTACATTGTTACTTGCCATCCCTGAACTCAATAAATGTATTTAATTGTAGTTGTGAAAATAGTTTAAAACTTACTTACTTACTTTTTTAATAAAACAAATATTTAATAAAACAAATATTTATTTTTACGACACAATCAAACAATATCAATAATAAATAAATCAGGGGAGGTTTGAAGAGGTTTGAAGTGCCGAAGGCCACTGCTTATCTTTAGGATTTGAGAGTGACCTGTGCTTGAAACCCCCTCAACCATCCACTACGTCAATACAAATATATGTTATACAAATATAGAAAAATATAATAATATAAAATTACTTATTGGTTTAGTTTGGTGACATAGGAGAGCCCAGTTGAGTTTTAGTTTAGGTTTAGGTTTTCAATAATAGTTTAAAAGGTTAGCCATGTTTCATGGCAGAGAGAGATATCATGTGTGCAGAGCCGTACCGGATTTAGAATTTGAGATATAATATAAAGTAGTTACCATGTATTAGGGTCATCTCGATTTTGGAGGGATAGCAAGTGCTTTTTAAGGTTAGATTTAATAATACCTGACGAGGCTGACAAGTCTGAATTCTTGGAAGAACCCGGGATTATTATCCCATCTTCATTAGCATCACAAATTTCGAATACATAGGGACTGAGGTCATTCCAAATTTTCGTAGAGGTGTACAAAAAGTTCTGTTGGGAGATATCTAACCTCAGTAATGGGACAATCAGACGAAGTTTTTCATTTCTAGGACAGAACTTGAAAAGATCTTTAATCGACTGGGGGACATCAAATTTAAGAATTTTGAATAGTTCCATAAATGTATGGTACATGTGCAGATTCTCCAGGTTCATAATTTTCTGCTCAGTGAATAGCGGTTTAGTGTGTTCAAGACAGTAGTTCTTGCTAGCCATATGTTCGTTATAAGTTCTTGAACGTGCACAGGTTAAATAGTATTCTTTATGATCAAAATTGGGAATGTTACCAAATAGCAGTCTTATACATCGTTTTTGAATTGCAAAGATTTTATTCAGCTTATGTTTAGGGATCCCACCCCAGCAACTTATACAATAGCTAAGATGTGACATAAAAAGAGCATTGTATAGTTTCAAATATTCAGATTTGGGAATGAGTTTGCAAATTCTCTTAATCGATACAATACTGGAGTTCAGCTTTAAAGATAAATGATTAAGATGTGGTTCCCAGCTTAGCTGTTCGTCTATTATCACCCCAAGAAACTTTGTACATTGAACTTTTTCTAGCTTTTTGCCATCTATTAAAATCGTTAGATTCCTGTTAAAGGGCCGTGTTCTGGCACAGGTCTGTGTTGCTCTTGACAAACCTGGCTGAAAATGCATATAACAACTTTTCCCTGCATTTATATGTAACTTGTTAGACTCCATATAGTTACTGACCTGTTTCATTACATGATTAGCTTTTTCAAAAGCTTCCTGTGCTGAACTACCTATCACAAAAATATTTGTATCATCAGCAAACAGGACGAATTCAGCCAAGCTTGAGGAGCTCACAATATCATTTATATAAATCAGAAATAGTAGAGGTCCTAACACTGACCCGTACCCCTGGGGTACACCATACTCAACTGAACACTTGTCCGATTTTTCAGTTTGAAAAGAAGTTACTTGGCTACGGTTTGTTAGATAGCTAGCAAGAGTTTTTAGTGCAATACCTCTTACTCCATAGTGTTCAAGTTTATGCAGGAGTTTATCGTGCTCAATTGTGTCAAATGCTTTACTTAGATCAATAAATATTCCAATTACATGATTTTTCTGTTCAATCTCATTAAGTATTTTATTGACAGAATTGTTTACGGCATGAGATGTTGAGTGTTGTTTTCTAAAACCAAATTGTCGATCATAAATCACGTTCATAGCACTGAGGTAATTATATAGCCTATTATAAATTATTTTTTCAAGTATTTTTCCAAATATCGGTAATGTAGAAACAGGTCGATAGTTATCAAGGCATCGTGAGTCTCCTTTTTTATAAATTGGTGTAATAGAGCCCGTTTTAAGCTTGTTTGGAAAGACCCCATTGTCCAAGAACCAATTAAAGAATCTAGAGATATGACCAGACAGATAATTTACACTCTTTTTTAAGACTTTAACAGAGATATCACTTGCCTTCCCATTTTCAAGGCTACCAATAATTTTACTTATCTCTTCCTCGTCACAGGGGCTGAGAAAAAAAGAGCTCACTATTCTTTCTCTGCCCTTGAGGTATTGTTTAAACTTCGTTTTATTGAAATTGCCATCAGTTACCGTACGAGATGGTACAGAAGATTGAACTTTTGAATTAAGAGTACGAGCAATAGACGAGAAGTAGATGTTAAATCCGTTAGCAATCTCACGGCGTTCAGTTACAATTCTACCATCAATTAAGAATGATGCTTTTATATCTTTTTTAGATTTACCCCTGAGTTCGTTAATCAATTCCCAGGTTTTTTAAATATTTCCTTTAGCAAGTTCAAATTTTTTCCCATAGTGGGCTTTTTTCGCAGATTTTATAGCTTTGTTTAGGATAGAACGATACTCCTTATACTTAAGATATAAAGTTTCCTCACCTAATGGGTTGATTTTGGTACACGAAGCCTTCCATCGCTTGTAGTGAAAGCCTTTAGTAAACACAGATTTAATTAACGCAGAAGTGATCCATGGATTCATCAATCTATTGCTTACTTACTTACATTTGAAAACTGGCCACGGGCCTAAATATTACATACCAATCAATTACAATTCATTAACAAATTACCAATATTAAAAACTATCGAAAATATTCAAGAAAGTATTCTCTAGCCAAAGGGCTCAATATTTAAATCTAAATCTTCAATATTGTCTGGTTTATATCGCAACTTGGGCCCTCTGTCCCCCCTTATCGAAATAACCGTTGTCTTTAATACCTCAAAGCGCAAGCGCTTTCTAAGATTAAAACAAAGTATTTTAGTAAAACAAAGTATTTTATTTATTAGCAGTGCAATCAATTCATATGATATAATTATAAGAATATAATAGTATGTCACACCTAGTTAGTAGTAGTTAGTAGGTGACGGGAGCTTCCAAGCTTTCCGTAGTGCTCCCAACCTGCTTTCAGATATGGGAGTCATATATGCCTTCAGTTTCCACCCGGTGAACCTGGTCGGCGAGCCCCCAGGTTTCAACTGCGCATAATAATATAGCCGTGCGGGTAATAAACCCCGGGTTGGCGTCACGTGTATTCGGTAGTGTGGCCGACCCCACTACTCTGCTGCGCGTTACCGTGTTGGGGTGCTATCCCGGCGCGCGCGCCGGAGCTAGCCCCTCTCCCCGGCCTCCGCGCACTTCGGCTATTTTGCTATATAAGAATTGAAATCTGCGTTCGTTTTGCGTACTGTATGTTTGGTAAAATAATTATTTATAAAGAATCAGAGTTGCCATGCCGCTCGCCCGAGCGTTTGGAGTTTTTAGGAGCCAGTCCAGACACTTGCCTGGATTGCATCGCAGTAGCTCCGTATCGACTCCTTACGCCCGAGTAAGTTGTTATATCCTATATACTCTGTAAGTTTCACGTTAGCGTCTGAGGTACCAGTCCAGACTATGTGTCTGGTTCGCATCGCGAAGGCCCCATAGTGACGCTTTGCGCTTAACTCCAGAGATGTGAGTTCGATGAGATTGTACTTTTATTGTATGATTGTATCTTGGAGAGATGGGTTATCAGGATTAGAAAATGTATCGTTTCCAGTACCGAGAGGTTGGAACTAAGGGAGCCAGCCTGGACTCTTGTCCAGATTGCATCGCAATAGCCCCTTGTCGTCCCTCGCACTCGTTCCTGGTAACGGTGTGTGGTTACTATGGTTCAGAGATCTGAGTAGTCGACGAAGTCTAGTAGATTTGTTAACTTAAGTGCTTTTGTTTGTGCTATGGTTCGTATGACTTGATCAATAGTTGTTGGATCCTCACCAAACTTGTTCATTCTAATATGTGTGAATCGTACACATTCGCAAATGAGATGTAATGCGGTCTCATGTGTTTCTGATTCGCAATAGCTGCAGGAGGGTGCTGTGGTGAAGTTTATTTTATTTTGGAAGTGGTTTAGTCCGTTGTGACCAGTTATCAGTCTTGTAAGTGGTCTGAGTAATTCTGCTCCTAATTTAAAAAGATATTGTCCATGCAATTTGTGATGTAGTATCCCAGTTACAAATTCTTTAGTATTGTCGCTGATATTGCATTTCTCCCATCTTTTGTTGAATTTTAGTTGGATGTGATTGATGATCTTATTTTTGAACTCTGTGTTAGGCTTCCGTGGAATGTCACTCTCTAGTTCTGGATTGATTGCGGTGGATCGGATGTTAGCAAGCTTGTCCGCATGTTCGTTGCCATGGTGACCTTCGTGTCCAGGGATCCAATCGATGTAGATAAGATGTTTACTTGATGCTTTGTTGAGACTATTATGTAGTTTGTGTATCATCTTGCTGTTTGTGTAAGATTTGGTTAGTGATTTGATAAGTGCTTGTGAGTCCGTGTATATTATCACTCTGTGTTCTTTATATGTTGGTGATGAAATGATGTCATGTAGCAGGATGCTTGCTCTGTATAAGGCGTGTGCCTCGCATTGGAATACCGTGTGGTGTGAAGAGAGGTTGTAGTTCTCTGTAATGAAGTCTTCCTCGTTTATGAGTATGACTAATCCGTATCCTGTCGAGTTGTCCGTGCTGGAATGTTTGGATCCATCAGTATATGCAGTGATCAAGAAATTTCCCGGATTCATCGGGGTCATATTTCTGTCGCCGATTGTGAGATGATAAGATTTGTCGCTTATGTCAGTTGGTTTTAGCAAGTCGTTGTCTGCTGTGTTATAGGTGTTAAAGACGTTGTTTAAGATTTTGTCGATGATAACAGTGCACGGTTGAAATGATTTTCTTATGCTGTGATCTATTGTGAGAGTCGGCCAGTGCTCGAGGCTTTTTAGTCTTAGGGATTGGAGGAGTGCCGTTTTCTCTAATTCAAGTGTTGCTGGAAGTAAGTTGAAGAGCTGATGTAGAACTTCTTGTGAGGATG